TCTCCCCAGGATTTTAGATTCTTCTCCAGAGTATTGAGTTATTAGAGCTTCTACAAGAAATAATAGTTTATTGTGACTAAAACTGTATTAATCTGTGAATTTTGTTCTCATAGAGTGATTTTTCTTTCACTGAAAGTTTGTGTGGACATTGTATGTGTATGTGAATATGTGTGCTTAAACTGAGACAGCTAGCATGGAAGACGTATGGACAGATGAAGGCCTGGCAAAGTTATCAGCTATGTGAAGTAAGATCTGCTAATGGAGATCCCCATAGTAATGCATGTTCAGCAATCTAGAGGCTAGTTTGATTGGAGATTCAGATGAAAGATATGCATATAAAGTGACTTTGACATAGATATTTAAAAATATTAAAAAACTTTGATCATTTGCATTTGTGTTTAAAAATAATTTTGGATGTTAAACAACAATGCGTTTTTCAAAGAAAATATTCATGCTTGAAATATCAGTCTTTAGGTGAGTGTGCTAATGATGCTGGTATGTGTGACATGAATTACATACATATTTTGTGTTTGAAAGAGGGGCAGAAAGCACTGGGTTGTAATCAAGTGACTGAGACGTAATCCCAGCTGTCATTCATTCCTATGGTTTTAGGGCAAGTCAGCTCAACTCTTGCTGGTTGCACTCCTTGTAAAAGTCTCATAGAAGTGCCGTGAGAAGAGTTCTTACATATTTTTCCATCTTTGAGGAACACTAATATAGATTTACATGTTAGCTTAGTGTTAAGTTTATCATTAGACTGAAATTGCTTTGCAAACGAAGGATGATGCTATCTGTCTCATATTTCTTTAGATATTCCTGGGATATCTTAGGAATATTTAGCATACAGATCTTTCATATGGAACAAGGCACGTAACTACTGTGTAAACATCTGTTCTCTAAATTTTATGAATTAATTTGATTAAGGCACTTTCCGTTTACTTCCTCTGCTCAGAAGATGGAGATGACGCTGGCTCTGCGGAGCTGATCGATGGCACGCGTGCAGAGTGGCTGCAGAGGCTGCAGCAGAGCACTGCCATCGAGTTTTGGCTGTGATTCATTCAGAGCCCAAATCTCCTTTTACCTCAGACCAGATTTTTGGCTCTGCCTACCTCTTTTTTTAATTCCTAGCACCATAGAGCGCAACTTGAATCAAAGTTGTCTTCTTTAAATTGTAATTTTTGCATTTCAGCAGTGGTTTTTATTTAGCAGATTCAGAGCGGTTGAGGGAAAACTCCCCCTTGTTCCATACATGCTTTCAATGTGGAAGTTCAGGTACAGAGGCGTTGGGTAACTTGACAGGTGCCGTGGTTTCAAAATCACCCCAATCTAACATAGGTGCCACAAAAAAAGGAGCAGCCTCCTGGTCTCCTTTTTCTGAACCGCACATATCCCTTCCCTGTATTGACTGTAGTTGCTGCTGGGATTCGCTGAGCTGGCTTGCCTGCAGCTGGTGGATGAGAAGCAGAGAGGGAGAAGGAAGGAAAGGTGAGCTCGTGGGCTTTGGCAGCAGCCCGCAGTTGGATGGGGTTAAGCCATCCATTAAACCACACCTCAGGCCAAGGTGCCTGGTGCCCTGCTCGCTGGAGCGTGCCGCTCTCCTTGCAGTCACACATATTTATGGAGCTGCAAGCTACAGCGTGTAGTCTACTGGAAATGCACATTTGAGTTACCTTTTGTAGTCTTTCATAATGCAGCTGCTTTCTTGGTGCATTGGGGAGTAGTCTAATGCATTTAATTGATGCATTTTCTCAAAATCCTGCTCATCTGAAACTGGTTAAACTAGTTTGCCATTGGAACGCTCCCCCGTCCCCTCTCCTGGATCCTGTCCCGCTTTCTGTAAATCATCACCTTCCTGAGGCTGCTGAAACTCTTCCTCATCTCAACTAGGCTATTGTTTATATCTTGAAAATCAAGCCCTTTCTTTCTCAACCAGAGAGAGAAAGCTCTTTCATTTGTGGAGGCTTTTCAAAGCCATGTTAGCCACGTCTCTAAAGTTCTGAAGCCCTTCATTCTGGGAGGAAAGGCATGTCACTTGCTAGAGTTTCTTCACGGTTAAAGAAACCAGGCTGGGCAGTTTGTTATCTGGGAGAGAAACGAGTGGGCATGATTTCCTCATCTTTCTCTTACTATGGTGTACACATAGTTCCTGTTACTTATTGTTTTTAGTCTAAACTGAGTAACAGCAGAGCTCAGAATTTCCAATTACAGTTTATCTTCCAGGGTCTCGGCAAACCCGGCTGTATTTAAGATACTGCCTATGGTCAGTGAGCAGCAAGGGTTTTACTGTTGAAACCGTTCCTCTCTGTACCCCTGTATCAAACACTGAACTTAGTCCCTGTGCATACCATACCAGTCTCATTTCAATTCCTGAATAGTTCCTGACGCTGTATTTACTGAATTTGGATATTTTGCTATTGCACTGGGATAAATCTTTGAAGTTAAATAGGTGTGATGCTGAATACAAACAAAAATGACAAGATAAAAAGAAGGTTGGATGCAAGTACCTGATCAGCACTGTTGGTGAACAGGTTTAGATTTTCTATTCAAGGAATTCTGTAGAGGATAATTTTGAGAGGATGTAATTATTCTTACATAAAAATGTGTAATTTAAAAAAAAAGAAAAATACCTTAACACTTTTATCTGAAACTTTACTGTAGTTATAGGTAAAAGGAGAATATTAGAATGTAGCACAGAAACAAATCATTATTGGATATTTTAATAAACAGAAATTATTATAATTCAGAAGACAAATTGAGGGAAGAAATCTGAGCATTGCAGAGGCTGTTATTTTTCAGTTTTCCCATAGGAACTTGGTAGTATTATATGGAATATTAGTGCCCAGTTTGCTTCTTACTGGGGCAGGTTGCTTTAAAAATCCTTTTTGGTAAAAGTCACTATTACAAAATGCTAGCAATTTCCAGCCCTGTTCCTAAATTACTGGTTTTCTTATTATTTTGCACGAAGTAGGGATAAGAAGAGTTGGAAGAGTTGTTATTGACCTGAAAGTTAATCTACTGGCCATTCAGATAACGCCATGCAGGATAACCTGAGTAAAAGAGCAGTGACCATAAAACAGATCTCAGGGGTCACCAAACTCATGTGGGAGGTCAGTGGAGGAGACGAGGAGGTGGTCATTTGTTTATGGATGGCCATCCTTCAAGAGAGAAGAAGAAAGTTCTGCAAGGACAGTTCTTGCAGTAACAGTTACTTGAAATCTTAATACGAGGAAAGAAGTTGCTGACTAAACTAAGAGAATCAGTTTGAAAAGCAAAGAGAAAACAATCTTGTATTTATCTTGTTGAATCAGCTTACAGTTAGAAATTCAATATAGAATCAAATTAGTCTTTTGTATTTTTAGCAATATACAGGTTTTCTCTCTTCCTCCCCCCCCGCCACCCCTCACTCCTCCAAATCTTATCACTTGTGATTACTGAAGATCCAATAGAGCTCTTACACCTTCTGCAAAACTGCAAGGATTTGTTCTTGCTCTCTGGCTCATTTCCCGCGTTTCATCTACAAAGACTCCCCTACACTTCTAAAAGAGATGCTCTGTTCTGTTTTCTCATCCTTCTGCGGTGCGCCAGTGTTCAGTAGCTGCTACTCCTTGGAGATGGGGGCATCTGTTGCGTGAAACACTACAGGTGTTGGCTAATGCCCTGAAGAAACATCCACCCACCACCTACGGAAAATCCTACCTACGTTAGGCACTGTGTTAGCATAGAGTTCTATACAGATGATAAAACTTTTAGAGAGCTTTGGGAAGAAAATTCTATTCAATAAATATACCATTTTTCATTTAGATAATACCTTTTTAGTAAATGCTAATCTGAGAAATTGCACTTGTTTTAGGCATGTAACTTATGAGTGTTTTGCAGTTTTAAGAATATGTAGACTTGATGTACAAGTGATAAAGTTGCTCTTTATTGGACCTTATTTTGAGCAAAAATTTACTCTTGCTATTTCTCCTTTAAATACCAGCACACTTGGAAATTTTGGAAAGGTTAGTCTGTGGCATAAGCACTTTTTTTGTAACAGATTTGTATAGTGTTGAATCCCAGATAGAATCAAAGGAGCAAACTGATTTAAGCCTTTAACCAGCATGCAAGGGTATTTTAATGAAAATTAGTCTGATTCTCCCTTTGAAGCTGTGCATGTGCTGAAAAGGAATGCTGCAGATATTCCTTTAGGTAATGCTGGGGATTTATCTACCACTACTTAATGTCAGATTGCTAACTCTTGAAAGCATATGTTTATCCTTAATCAATATTGTAATCAACTTCTGCCTGTTCTATTATGATATCTTAACCTTATTAACCTAAATATTTCCTGTTAATATTTACATCCATGACACTTGTAATTAGGTAACTGCTGTTACCTAAATCAATCTAAGCCTAGTAACAACATTTTGGTTGTTGCAAACTGAAGAGACAGTCTGTTTCAGGATTTGCACAATTACTAATTTTTAAAAGGTATAAGGAAAGGAGTTGAAATAATCTTTTACATTTTCGCAATTAGGGTTATTCTGCCACTTCAGCTAATGACTTCAGCTCCAGATCTGGTTATTGGCATCCTTTGCTCCCTTTCCTGAATTTTGTGTTCCGGTCTTGCTTCCAGAACATCGTCCAGCACCCTCTCACCAGGACCCTGTTTCCATTTTCTCCTGTGCTCATTTCTCATTGTTTTTTTCCAGTCTTTCATTTTATTCTTTCTCAATTTTCATCATCTTGTATGTTAAATCAGGAGCTCTCTTACTAATGTACCAAGTAAGGTGCTTTTCCTGAAAGTGCATACTTTCCAAAAACAGTTTGATGGTTCCTATTTCAGGATGAGTCCTTATGTCTCAGTCCAAACCTACTGTAAGCAGCCCAGGACAGGAAATACACCACTTTGTTTACATAAGATGAATGCATAGATTGTCCTTGATTTGTTTGAAGTGCAAATGACTGTACGCTTGTCAAGACAACCTGAGATATTCTTTGTTATTTTATTTCCCTTTTAGATGCACTGTATTTACCAACATCAGGGACAGCACAGGAAGAAGCAGCTCAGGAAGAACCTGGCTGCCTTGCGAAATATTTCAGTGTTGTGTGGTGTAAGGCATCAAAGAAAAAGCACAAGAAGTGGGAAGGCGATGCTGTTCTTATTACAAAAGGAAAGTCAGTAATATTGAAAGATATGGAAGGCAAAGACATTGGAAGAGGTACTGTCGATTCGCATAGTTGTGTTAAGTGAACAACTGGCTTAAAATTATTGTTTTTTGAATAATAGAGACACAGCTCTTTAGATAACTTAGTTCTCCATACCAATGCGACCACAGGAGGAAAAAAAAGTAGGGTTCGAGGGAGAGAAGGAGACAGAAAAAAAGCTTTATATTTCTTACATATAAGGCAGATGCATGGGGGAGGCTGGGGCAGGCTGAATAACGTTATTCACAGAAACACCAAATGCTAGCGCAAGGAGAGGATCTGGAAATGAACGGCTGTACTCCTTCAGCAGAGATGCCAAATGAGGGATAAGTAGTTGATTCCGGTTGCTCACATAATGCATTGGGATTGTTAGAATTAGGGGAAGATATACAGGTAAGTTTCTTGTAGGTATTCCAGTCAGTAGTATGGCAACTGGGAACCTCAGAGGCCAGATCTGTGCTTTTCAGCCAGTCAAGCAGCTAAAAATACTACCTTTGTCAGAAAGACAAGCAAATGGCAACATTTTCCAGCCAAGCCAAAGTCAACTACGGAGCAATTTTTAGTCTTGTAGTTTTAGCAGCAGCTGTTGCTGTAAGACACAGTTTGGGTTGATAACAGAGTTAAAAATAAGACTTGCAAACTATAGGCTGCAGTCAGCTTGAAGCAGTAATTTTTTACTGAAAGCAAAGCAAGAATTAAGTTAGCTGACTGAGCCCAAGATACTTTGTAAGGGAGTAGGATTGGACAATGTTGCTACAAAACATAATTTGATTAATTCTAGGGCTGAGATGGCTTCTCTGCTCTTTTGTTACAATCATGACATTGTGAGCCTTGTTAGGACCAGGCAGTTTTGATTTGCAAATCAGTCTGTTACTTAGAAGTTAATTTGAATTTATTTATAGCAAAGCAATGTATGTACAGACTAGCTTGTTTTTGAAAAAGGCAGAGAGAAAGAGAGTAATGCCTGGAATGCATCAGCCACCACCCTCTTGTTCTTGCATTTCTTTTCAAGTCCTGTCTTCTTGAATTAGCAGAGAACACAACAGAAAAACAAATATTCTGATTTTTGCTGGTAAAAGTCTTTTTGCTGTGTTTGGTATCATTGTGCTCCCTGACACCATTAATGTCACTGGTGCTAACTTGTCCATTCAGAGTTAATGTCAATGCTTGTTGATTCTAAGAAAATCATAAATTGACCAATTTAAGCAGTGTAAGTTTTAAATTTCTGCAATTGTTTTACAAGCCCATTGAGTGAGAAGGAAAGATCTGGTAGTGGTGCTTATCTCCAATGTTGATTTAATGCTAGGAAATTTACAGTGAATGTGAATGAGTATCCAGGATTATTATTTTTAAATGGGAAGGAAAGGGCAAAAGTAGATTATTTTTTTTTTTTTTTTTTTTTAACTTAGGCATACCAGGGCTGGATCTAAGAAGGGGCATGGGAACATAAAAACAGTACAGGCTGTAGCTTGTTTTCAAGGCAGCAAAACATCTCACTTTTCTACCCTGCAAACGTCCTAATTCCTTAGTAATGTATTACAAAGAATTTAGGAAGTGCTCTCTTGTAATTTGCTGTATGTTGTAGAAACAGTAATTTCTGGCAGCTGCAAAAACGTTTGGGCTTTGTAGGTTTACTTTTTGCCTTTCCTAAGTTCCCATCTGCCCTTAAACCCAACCCTGTCTTAGAATTAGACTCTTGAGACCAGAGTCCAAAAGATCCTGCACAGCGATACACCTGTTTTCAGTATGCTCAGTTTGGAGCTGTGTGGAGGCAGTAACAGAAAGCAAAAATGCAGAGCAAAGGAGAGGTCATAAATGCCCTCTCCAGGCACTTCATTTAGGAAGGCCCGTGCGTTCTCTTGTGTTCTGGCATCTTCAGCTCTTGCCTGAAAGCAAGTGTTCCTCTTTCAAGAACCAAACAAGGATCACTGTGTGCTTTTTGCATGCGTTTCGAGGAGGGAGAGAAAAATATCTCCCTTTCGCTTTTGGCCAGGCTATTTTTCAGCACTTCCTTAGACTGTGAAACGGCTCAGTGAATTTATTCTCTTAAGGGAATTTCAATCCAGATCTTCACCGTCCAGCTCTTTGGGAAAGGCACATTCCTAGAAGTGGGAGACCTGAGCTTTGCAAACAGCTCTCAGCAGTCTTTATGCGTAGTGTTTGTTGGATAAAATACGTGTAAAACCTTGGGGAGTTTGCCTCTTTCACGGGAGAGTGCTTTAACTGCTGGTCTACACAGTCATGCTTTATATTTTCTGGCCCAACTAAAAATCCAAGCCTATTTATTCAAAGTGGCACAAATTCAACATCTAGGGTAAAGAATGTTCTGCTTCTAATTTCGAGGTAGAGTTGTGGCTTTGACCTCCCCCGTTTCTTATGTCAGACTTCCAACCACTAGAATGCTACTTAAAAGAAGGAACCACCACTCTTTGCTACGTGTCATGCTTTATATTTTCTGGCCCAACTAAAAATCCAAGCCTATTTATTCAAAGTGGCACAAATTCAACATCTAGGGTAAAGAATGTTCTGCTTCTAATTTCGAGGTAGAGTTGTGGCTTTGACCTCCCCCGTTTCTTATGTCAGACTTCCAACCACTAGAATGCTACTTAAAAGAAGGAACCACCACTCTTTGCTACGTCTTTATCTTAGAAGAAAGTGGCAGCTGCAGCTGCAGAGGCTGCTCTGAGAATGCCCACCCAATAGAGTCCCTAAGGTGGCACAGAAAAATGCATTGGGTCCCTGATAGGTTTTTGAATGAGCAAACTATCCTGGCAAAAATCAGGCATGTATCTTTCAGAGCATACGTAGAAGTAAAGATTTCAGATGCGTATGAGTCCTTAATTGTAAAAAGCTAATTTAGAATGATTTTAAAAGTAGAATGTTATGTGTAGATCAAGAGCAAGAGGGGCTGGTGGTGTTCATGTCAGGGCATAAAAAGAAGGAAGAAGGACCTCAGATGGTCATTAGTTTTGGGCAACTTTAAAACTATGGCAAGCTGCTATATTTTATGATATGGGGCTGTTTTTTGTAAATTTCCTTGAATGGATAGTTGACATTCAGTAGAACTGATTGTGAATGATGATGATAGAATATCTACTTATATATTCTAGTATCTAATTCTTATTATTAGCACTGAAATATCGAGCTCTGTTAAGGAGGGAAAGGCTTTATAAGTCCATATGTGTAGTAATTCAAATGCTTAAGAATCAAATACTATTGACAGTTTTGGTTTTGCTTCCTGCAGATGGGTACAGATGTTGAGGAAGTAGTATGTGTTGTGTTGTCCTAATTGTTACATTTCTATATTATTTTAGGTACTGGATATAAATCTAAAGAACTGGACGGTCTTGATGAAGGCCAAACACTGATGGTGGGAGGAAAAGAAATTGAAGTGATGGGTGTGATTTCAGCAGATGACTTCAGCAGTGGCAGGTGTTTTCAGGCTGGAATAGGGACTCATGACACGGTCCCAACTGCTTTATCTCAGACTAATATGAAACCATTCTGTAAACCATTCAAAAGCGTCTGTCAATCTAATACTAAAGAGAATGTGCTTAAAGAGTCTCAAAGCTACAAACCTCGCCACGATCCAAACGCTTCAAGTAAGGTTCAGATTTTTAAGTTTCTTTAAGCATCCTCTGGCTCTCAAAAAAAAGTATTTCTGACATACAGCACTAGTGTTTCTATCAATATCATGTTAGGATTTTATGGTGTGTGTTTCTAACACGTGAAATGCTCTGCACTGCATAAAGTTTCTCATAGTTGTTACAGATGGCTGTAGAAATAAGCTAGAGTGGTTTCTGAGAGTTTTGCCAAGAAAAACAAGTACATTGATCAGAGAAACACTCTGACACATGCTAAAAGTTCTAGATGAGTTCCAGCTTCCCACTGGGGTCAGTGAAGCACTGACATAATATGGCAGCACAGTAATTACAGTGGAGGATCAGTAATCAAGAGAGGTTAAGCCAGATTCAAAGAATTGCTTCTGACAGCGCCAGATCCTTCACAGCCAGCGAGTGTAACTACACTGGCCAAGCTCAACCAGATACATTTTGGAATAAAACTTCTGCTTTATAACACTAGAAGTACCATGTGCTGAAGGGCCATGAGAGTTCACAAATTGCAGAGAAATAGGCTGGTTAAGCAGTTGTATAAGAGGGATCCTGTGAACATTTGATAGCTGCAGGAAGTGTCGGTGCTTATCTAAATGACAAGTACTGTTTTATCTGTCAATAACAAACCATTTAGGAGCTATATTCTGCTGATGGCTTTGTCTTTCAGATGAAAGATAAAAATGAGTTTAAAAAAATGTTACTAAGTGGAGTAACACACATTTTAAAAAAATACAAGTTTGTTCTATGTTCTTACTATAGTTATACCTCCATCCTACATCTTACTTCATATCCTGATACTCTGGGACTTTTCAAAGCTGCTACCTGACTGCTATGTAAACAAACAATGAAATCCCAAACAAGTGGTAATTAGTGATATCATTGACCCTCTTCTGGTCTGAATTCAACTTGATTATGTTGTATCTAAGAATGTTCCTTCCTATGGTTGCAAGATAATACTACATTAGCGTTCTGATCTACAATCTGGCAAAGACTTGATACATTCAACACTCAAATTAACTTCTTTGTTATTTTTGCACTAGTCTGTCAAAAAGCTATAGTTTATTCTAGTCCTTTGTCTCCTGTGACTTTTCATCTGGTGAATTTGAGTACCTCCTTTGAGATTTCCCTGAACTGCCTCATATGGCAAGCCCTGAACATGTCAGTAGGTTGGACTCTCAGTCATTAGTGTTACTTACACAGGAGAATCACGTAGTTTATTTAACTCCTTTTTACATAGGCTCTTTCAGAAGTAATGGAGATACTTTCCTGGACCAGGACCTTGGGACTGGAGCATTCAGAGGTTTTCACGTTGGGGTCCGTGCCAATAGTTGATTCAAATGCAGGTTCTTCAAAATGGAAAGCCGTTTATCCTTGTGCTTAGCAGAAGAGAGCACAGTGATAAAGATGAAAAGCCATGTATGATTTCTAAGCTTTTAGTCCATTGCTCATCTAAGCCTGGTTTCTCTCCCATCTCTGAGGCTGCAAAATTTTGTCAGAAAAGTTATCTTTTTGTCACCACTGGCTCTTATATATACAGGCATGCAATTTGATGTAATCTATCAGAACTCAGCCCTGTGTCAGTAGGAAACAAAATCTCCCTGAGTGATACAAGCCGTCAACCAACCTATTCCCATGAATAAATTATCAGTATAGATCTACTCTAGTGACATAACAATACCAGCAGCTATAAATTGCTTTCTCATTCTGTCCTCTGACAATACAACTTTTCAGTGAGGATGTAGCATCAATATAAGCAAAGCCGTATGGACATTGTCTAGAAAAATTATGACATTAAAATTTGTAAACAAATTATGACAAGAAAACCTGTTATTTGGATGTAGCCAAAGGATATATTCCTGTACTTCGTGCTCTCTTTGCTTCTGTGTGTCTTCAAGCCTGTCGACTTCTTTTATTCCTTCACTGTGGCAGCCTTTGTCAGCTCACTCTCAGTCCTTCCCTTTTTTTTTTTTTAACAAATTGTTGTCTTTTATCTCTGTTTCTCAGGCAGAGAAGTCTTTCTGGGCAGCTACGAGAATATCCCCTTGAAGTGCAGTGTTTAGACTTTATGGAGGTCATTCTTTATGTTCTTTTTCTTAAACTTTCCTCTAAGAAGCTTTTTAGAACTACTTCTGATTTAACTCTATGCATTCAAAGTCATCTTACAGTATTTATTATATAGGCAGTTTCACCTCATCAAAAAAAAATGCTCAGATTTCTTAGATTGTCACCTTTACCTTTGACAAAAGTGCAAACTATTAGGGAAACCTCTGTAAAAGGATTTTTCATTTGGAAGGCTATCTGGATGCTCTGTTGGTAAATCAATTTTCTGTCTGAGAATGGTCAATATATTAAACAGTATTTCTAGCAGTTGTTAGATCATTGACTTTATTCTGTGGCTGAGTTAGAGAAATAATAACTTTTGCTAACAGACTAGAAATAATGTTGTATACGTTTTGAACTTCAAGATTCTCTAGTTATGCCAAGACCAAATGCAAGTCATCAGTGGACGTTCAATAAGGCAGGTTTACCTATGGTGGATGTCGTTGTGGATCCTTACATTGCAAATAATCTCCGACCGCATCAGAAAGAAGGAATTATATTTCTATATGAATGTGTCATGGGAATGAGGTAAGACGATAATTATCCTTTTGTCTTTCAGTACCTGTAATACTTTCATGCCCGTGATTGAAATTAGACAATTTGAATGGGAAGATTTGAGCAATTGTTTGATTAATTAGTATTAGTAATTTTCCCCCAGTAAAGGTTGCTCAAGTTTTTCTGACCTGTAGCATCATGCGTGCTGTGACTTTGCCAGATGTGATGAGAACCTAGTGCACCAAAAGGCCTGTCAGTTCTACTGCAAATACCAAGTCTTGTAAGCATGGATGCAATCTAGCCCATGCTAAAGCACACTGCTTTCTGGGATTTATAATTCATAATTATTCATATAATTTATAATTCGGGTATTTAGAATAAAGAAGCTGTTATACCAACCTGTTGAATAAAATACAGTACTATTTACAAAAGTGCTTTCTCGAGTCATAGATTCCTTAAGGTATATACAAGTTTTGAAAATATTAGATAATATTTTTAATTCTAAAAGAAGATTTAAATTACTTGGGTTTGGAGGACTAATGCATTAATCTAGAAAATGAGGAATTTCACTCTCAGGTCTTCTGGTATAACTGAATGAAAACCTACAGTAGAACATAATAAGTATAAATAGATTATTTATAC